CTCTCTCTCTCTCTCTCTCTCTCTCTGTGTGTGTGTGTGTGTGTGTGTGAGAGAGAGAGAGAGAGAGAGAGAGAGAGAGAGAGAGAGAGAGAGAGGAGAGAGACACTTGGATACACGTGCATCATGACAGCTTGAAGCAACCAGTTTTCTTACTCCACCATGCCAGGAATAAAAAACTCAAGTTGTCAGACCTGGCAGCAAGTCTTTACCCACTAAACCAGCTCACTACCTCTGTTTATGTAATTTTAATTGGTTGGGTGTTTGGTGTGAAACCAGGGCCCGGATGGGTTTCTTTTGCTGACCCCTTTTCTCTACATTGGGGAGCAGAGATTAAATTCAAGGCCCCATGCTTGCCAGACAAGCACAATGCCACTGAGCTACATCCCCTCCCTCACCATGCGCCCCCCTCCCCATCCCCCAAAATCAGAAGAATTAAAGAAAGTAACTATCCTCTAGAAACTGGAGAGTTACTTTTGAGTAATGAGGCATACAAAACTTAGGCCTTAACACCTCCTGTCTAATTTTGGCATTTTTAGACTTCAGTGTAACCTTAGTAAACAAGCCTAACTGGTTCAGCATCTTCCTTTAGTAATGAAGTAAAGGTAATTATTTTGCTATGTTTTATAGTGTTGTTATAAGTAAAGAATTTTGTAAATAGTAATTATTGGTAATTCCCAGCTGAGCTATTTGATCTAGACTGAGAGATGAAAAGACATGTGGAAGTTAAGGATATTTCTCACTGACCAAATTTTGTTATTGGCAAATATTTTTAAATGATAGTTAAGGCAGATTGACATATAGTTAGAAGCTTAAAGGTTATCTTTACAAATTTAAAATTAAAAACCTTGTCAGTTATTTTATGACCATATTTTTAATGATATAAACCATTTCAGTAAAATGCATCAACTTCTTGTTTTCACAAGGTGTGTACACATGATACCCATACACATGTACACATAATTAGAAATAAAATCCTTAAGATTTGTTTATAAGCCGAGCAGTAGTGGCGCACGCCTTTAATCCCAGCACTTGGGAGGCAGAGGCAGGCGGGTCTCTGTGAGTTCGAGGCCAGCCTGGACTACAGAGTGAGTTCCAGGAAAGGCTCCAAAGCTACACA